TTTCAGTGGGTGGGCCTCGGCCTGTTTTCTCTCCCAACCAAATCTGGCCACCTCAGCTTCTTCGTAGGTTACGTAGAAAAAATTATGTAGATATAGCAAAGCTCCGGAACGGCAGCAGATCCAAACAGTACATGTGCACTACACTCTTTTTGTAATTTTGACCGATTTGAGTGGAGTGGAATGGTGTTCAAAAAAAGATTTCAGTGGAATGTATACTTACAGTACTGTTTTTTTTTTCTTTTAGCGAAGCAACACACCCCCTCTCCAAAAAATAAAAAGGTTTGGGCCTTGTCCTGCCAAGCGGACGGGGCGCAGGCTTATTCTCTGCCTGGGCCAAAACTGAATGGGCCGTAGCAGCTACCGCACCGCCTAATTTTTCTCTCAATCAAAAAAAGTTCAGTGCGGGTGTCCTAACAAAGAAAAAAAAAGTTGTAAAAAACACAAAGAAAAAAGAACTAGTTCAGTCAGTGCGGAGCTCTGCTCTGGTCGTCTTCATCCCCCGCCGGCCGATCCCCATCCCATCCCCGGTCTCCCGCCGTCCGTCGCTAAGCGGCGGAGCGGCCGGCCGGGGCGGTGGGCTATCCTGTTCTGCCATGGCGCCGGAGACGAGGAGCAGGAGGACGAGGGACCCGCGCGCATCGGAGACCGCGCCGCCGCCGCCGCCGGTGCAGCGCCCTCGGCTCACGCGCGCCGGAAGCAGGGGGGACGCGCCGACCCGCCGCCGCTCCGGTAAGCACAACACACTCTCTAGTTCCGCATCGCCGATTAGATTAACTGGAGACCTGTAGCTGTGCAGTAACAGAGGTTAGGTGTGTAGGGTTCCAGGGGGGAGTAATCAGGAGATAATAAAATTAATTAGTACAAGTGCTCTTCTCCTAGTCCAGTGATGCTTCTTTTATTTGTTTTTCAAGCTAGAAACATGAAATCTCCTACTTGGGGGAAGTCATGGCCAAAGTGATTTATCGCTATTCCATTTCCCAGAAAAATCTCATGCAGTTAGATTATATACATTCTGCTAAGGCCCCCCTGCTTGAAGCTGCAGATGAATCTTCAAATTAAGATATGGATATGAGAAGTCTTACTACTTGTTAGCATTCTAAAAAAAAAAAAAGTCTTGCTTGGTAGCCTACTACTGAAACTAGATGGAAGACAACAACCTTATAGCCATCAGCAAGCCCAACTGATTGCTGGCTCTCCCAGCTGCAACACCTGCAGAGCTTTTTTATATGGTTATAACCCAGCCGTAGATAACCAACCCAAGAGCAATCCAGTCCCATAAAAGGGACATTTTAATACATGGCTGGAACTTCTGATGCGTATAGCAAGTATCAAAGAGCCATCGAGGAAGTTTCATTTTCTCCGGCAGTGTGGTTGGTGGTGCTTATAGCATCAAGGAGGGGTCATATGTATGGATGAATATGCAGTGGTATTTATGGCATTAAGTCAAGCCCTTGTGTCAGACGGAATTTGCAGGGCATGTAAGGTCGACTGGTTTGTGCTTTTTATTGTTGTAAGTGATAAGTGATAATGCTCCCGAGTCAGTTGAGAACCTGGACTCTATATTTTCTTTAAGCTGTCAAAGTTTCATGATATATATTCGGAAGTCTATGTTCTACTGAAATGCCCAATTGATGGTGTTTCAACAGGTCAGGTTAATGAGGATGTCGTGAGCAGATTCCCGCATTTGGCAAGTTCGGTACAAAATGATGTTACGCAGTTAAAGGAGGCGACTGGAGAGGACGAGGGGGGCGCGCACATCCAAGACCTTGTTGCCGTCGTTCCGCGGATGACGAGGAGGAGGGCGAGGGAGGCATGTGCATCGGAGACCGCATTGCCGTCGTTGCAGCGCGCTCGACTCACGCGTGGCGGAAGCAGGGGGGAGGCGCCGACCAGTGGCCGCTCCGGTAAGTGGAAGACTGTACTACCACCGTAAATCTTTTTAGTCATGCATCGCTTTGTTAGTAGTAATCACCAGATAGATTACCTAGAGACCTGTAGCTGTACAGAGATAGAGGTGCAGGCATATATTTCTAGGGTTACAGGGTGACAAAAAACCAACTCACATGTATGATATATATATATCCTTCTGATTTTAAGATGACCCAAGTGATTTAACACTCTTTTCTGGAAAATATCTTATTACTAGATTGTTTAGTTTGTGCTTATGTTCTACTGCTTGAAGCTGTAGATAAATCTTCGAATAAAGCTGTCAAATTGTCATGATATATTAAGAAGTATATGTTCTGCTGAAATGCCCAATTGATGGTGTTTCGACAGGTAAGGTTAATGAGGATGTCGAGAGCAGATTCCAGCATTTGGCAAGTTCAGTACAAAATGATGGTATGCAGTTAAACAGAGCCATGGAGGCATCGCTGGATTGTAAGTCCCCCCTAATTGGTACTTTTGGTCAAAAGGGCTATCATAACTGCTGCTAGTTATTTCCTCATCAGTTATCCAGAAATTCTCTTACAATGAGATTATCCAGTTCGTGATTAGGTCCCACTGCTTGAAGCTGTAGATACATCTTCAAATAAAAATATGGACATTACAAGTCTTAGTTTAGCCTACTACTGAAACTAGATGGAATAACATCCTTATAGCCCAAAGTCCAACTGATTGCTATCTCTCCCAGCTGTGACACCTGCAGAGCATTATATGGTCAAGCCATAGATAACCTAACAACAATCCAATCCCATAAAAGGTTTTTTTTAATTCTAGCTGTAGATAAATCTTTGAATAAAGCTGTCAAATTGTCATGATATATTCAGAAGTATGTGTTCTGCTGAAATGCCCAATTGATGGTGTTTCAACAGGTAAGGTTAATGAGGATGCCGAGAGCAGATTCCAGCATTTGGCAAGTTCACTACAAAATGATGGTATGCAGTTAAACAGAGCCATGGAGGC